CTCGAGAATATTCAAACGACTGCAACCCTTCCCCCCGGAAAACATGCACTCTCTCTATGTCTGCCAGTCATCAAATTTACGAGTATTCAAGGCTACCTCATTTCACGCCGCATCGAGAAGTACATGAAAAAGCGGAAGCTGTTCGAGGTGTTGGAGGTTGTCAGAATGTGGAACGAACAATTCTTTTCCCCGAGGGGGGTGAAAGTGACCTTGCGACCCGATTGGATTCGTATGGGAGACGATCTTAATCAAGCATTCGACAGGAAGAAATTGCGTAAGCGTTATAGTCTTACGTCGGTTCCGACAGAGGTGTCGGAGGCGGTCCCAGTCCAATCTCCTTGTGAGATGCCCTCCACTCAAGTGGACCGGTGCGGAGCGCGTCGAACAAAGAATTCTGAAGGGACGAGTGCACGTGCTGATGAGCAGGGCGATCGGGTGGCCCGGGCTTTGGAGAAGAAAGCTCGCTGTCGTTCAAAGCGAAACGAGAGGAAACATACCGCGGGATCGTCCTGGTGTCGGGTTGGTGGAAAGTACGATTTAATTGTGGAACCCTTTTGAGTTTGTTGTGCTCGCTTTTATATAATTAAGCAGTTCAGGGCTTGTTGCCCTCGCATTGTATATTCCGATACGATTGTACATATCTAATAATTGGAGAGATGGATAACAAACCACGGTGCTAGGCTTTCAAGTTGTGGGTTTTAAGCGCGCCAATTGATAAATTGTGCTTCACCCCTAATCTTGATCTTCAACAATCACGTTCCGTCCCAGGACCGACTATAGGCAAGCCCCCCAGAAGAGTCGATTCTAAACTGCGATTTCTTCTCCTTCATTTGTGAAGGTGGCTATGCACGCCTCCCACAGAGCAGAACTCCAACACAATCATCCAATAAGCCAACCGTGCACTTAAACAGCAACTAGGACCATTATGTAACAAAGGTGGCACCTTCGACTTCCAAGCTCTGACAGATCATGGGCTACTCCAGAGCTGGGGCGGCCAAGAAAGGATGGCATCTCGGCAGCCAAAGTCTAGTCAAACTGAAGAAATAGTGAGGCCCGGGAAACTGTCACGTACCCTGTCAGTCTCACGACCGATTCATCAAGTACGGCTTGTCTCCATCCAAGGGTGTGTTATTGTATGTACTTCCTGGAACTGGAGAGACTCTCTTGGCCAAGGCGATCGCTAGTAAGGAGTGAGGCGAACTTCATCGGCATCCACACCCTACGCGCTAACTGTTGCTCAAGGGTTCTGAGTTGCTTTCAAGGTGGTTTGCTGAATCCGAGGCAAATGTGTGGGACGTATTTGACAAGGCTCGTGCCACTGTTCAACATTCATCGATGAGTTAGACGGTACTGCCTAGATTTGTGGTGACAGGTGCGCATTGCGGGTGGCGCTAGAGGTCGTATAGTAAACCAACTTCTCCATGAAATGGATAGCATGAACACCCAGAAGAATGTTTTCATCCTCTACCTGATGGTTCTTCCCGATTTGCTATTCCCCGTGCTGTCCTCCGCAAGTCGCCCGTCGCGTCCGCCTACGAGTCTTTTGGTGCTGATACAACTGAGGTCTGTCAACGTGTAGCGAAGCTTGCAATCCGTGAGAGCATCGAAGCTACCAGACACTGCGTGCGAGAGAAAGCAGCCAGGACAAGTGATGTAGACATGGAATAGGGCCTGGAAGATGATGATCCTGCTGCACAGTCTGGCTTTCATGGTGCCCGCTTTGAGGAGGCCATGAGGTTTGCTCGCCGCTCCGTTACGGACCAGGAGATCCGGTGGTACAAAATGTTTGCTGAAATAGGCCTCGTACCCCTTCCCTTCCCCTCGGGGCTACATATCACGGCTTTCAGCACTTGCAACAATCCCTGATGCTTCGCTCAAGTTTCAAGTTCCCTGAGTATGATCCGTCTTCACGGCCATCGGTCAATGCATCCAATTCTCTCGCCACATTTTCGCAAGATGATGTTGACTTGTATGCCTGAGCGATTCCCTTAGTTGGATGCATGTTCGCGGTTTTCGGTGCAGGTTCAGTGTGTGCTGACGATCGATCTGTTTGTCCTCCCTGTGATCGTTCCCCGCTCCCGGGTGGTTCTCCGATCTTTAATTTGGAACTTCACCCGCCAGCATGTGAACAAACCATCAAAAGGTTTTGTTAACAGAAGACTGACAAACTGATAAGCGAAGGAACAGAGGGTGGGGCAGGCGCAACTGCGACCACATCAAGTTTCTACGGCTGATGTGCCGCCAAAAACAAGCGCATAATCATGATCCGTCTGTGGCAATCTGAGACGTCAGCACTGTCCGCCTACCAAGGCAAATCGATCTAAGTGTCAGCGTTGATAAATTTGACAAGTGTCATTCGTTGACTGCGCTTTTCCTTCTATTACGCCAGCGTTTTGCCTACCACTTCCTTAACTTTAATTCATACTGCAATTCATGTGCCATTTGGTCATGGAATATTGCACCCATGGGAGCATTCTTAATTCAATTGTTCTTCAACCTGCCATGTCGACATACACCTTCATCTTAGTATTCCCATCTGCTATCATTTCCAGTCTGAATGGTTGGTGGTTGTTCATGTTTTCCCGCGTGGGCCCACAGCGCCATGTTCGATGGGAGGATGGTAAGAAGGTCAATACTGCTGTCATTTCGGCTGAGGCGCACGGAAGATGAAGGGAAAGCTGTGCCATCAACAATCTTCATGCTTGCAACCACCATGCGAAGCCGTGCTGCTTCTACCATATGCCATTGTGACTGGTTCTTTGCTGTTTGGAATTGATTATCCATCACCATCTTGTAGTCACTGTGGCACCAACTAGTTACTCAGCTGTGCCATTTTTGAATAGACGGTGCTCTGTATCTCTGTGGAACAATTCTTTGTTCGAAAGTTACTATTGGGTTCGCGCAGGAGGCGATCCCAAATCAAGCATTTGACGAGGGATTATAGCCATCCGGACCGCGTGCAGCATCGCCATGGTGGTGCTGAAACTAATCTTGTTTTGCCGCGGTCCCGACTGAAGAATTGAAAGCAGCGGTCGCGGAGGTGCTGTCTGTTGCATCCGGGTTTCCTAAAAGTGCACTAACGAGAAAGGTGATGAGGGCGGGGCGAAGGGAGCCTATCATCGCTCAAAGCAGAGGGATACCGTAACGCGGGGCCATCCTGGTGTCAGGTTGGAGGGACAAACAAATCCCTCATGACAGGAGAATCGTTCCATCTATCTTAAGCAACGCTGACAGCCTGTTACGCAAGGTTACCCTCCCACAGTGATGCGATTGATATATCTTGCGCCTTATCAGGATTATCACCGAATCGATGCTGCCCCTGTAGTATCTTCTACGTGCAGGTGAATGGCGCAGCTAGCGCGTGACCATATGCATGTTCGTTCTTTGCGTCGGGATACTATCCTCGTAACTAGAATCGGCAATCAAGTGCGTCAAAGCCTTGCATTGATTTCAGTGCCCGTCACAATCGCGGCAGTGAGTGGTAGGTTGTTCTGCGTAAGTGATCGATTGAGAGTTCAGACCATCCAACTGCCAACTGCATTGGCACACGTTCAAAGCGAGGTAAGTGGCGCTTAAGGTATTCGAGTGAGCACAATAAAGGCTCCACAAATATTGCACTGTGTTCGATTCTGAGGGCTTATAGCCATCACATCGCCCAAAGCTCCTCCTAACTTCCTAGCTGAGAGCACTGGGCGCCACTCAGCATGAAACCCACCTTATTTGACACTGTTTACGCCGCAGCCTGGAAAATAGATCGTGACTCCAACGCGGGAGCAGTGGCCCCAATGATGATGAACGGCGCAGAGTGTGAGCCGTTCGATCCCGATGCCACAGATCGGATTGACCTCATGTTGCTAGAGAATGTTGTGCAGTATGGAAATTATGAAGCATAAAGCGCCCATTGGCTGGAAAAATGGATCGGGTAACAACTGGTGAACAGCAACCACTAGGACTTCATGGGCTCCGCGGGAAGTCATGCTGGAGATCAAAAGGCCTCAATTCGACTCCCGTCCCTTACCAATTTTGGCCAGGTTCGTCAAGGCCGGAAGGGGGATGTACCGCACAGATAATTCCTTTGGAGAAGACGTGAAAACCTGTCTTCCCCGATACTTCAAGATCCCCGCGAGTCATGGCAGTGTCTCACGATGAAGCGGCTACCAATTGCACGTGGGATCTGGAAACTTCTATCTGGAAAATTTGTTCCCAGCCAACTGGGAGACGTTCCGCAGGACCACTTTCCCATGGAAGTCCCCGTTTGTCATGGAGACTCGCATGAGGAGACGCAGCCGATATAAGACGAAATGTCGGACTAGCGATATTATCGCTCAGTCCCGTTGTACGTGAACTAAATATGTATTAGAATAATCACCTAGCGATGTTGTCGCTGGTGTACGAGTGTTCAATAAATGAGATATAAAGGACAAACAAGATATAACCAACTCACCTCAGTCCCGTTGTACGTGAACTGAGGAAAGGTTGGGTTGCCCAAAAAATTAAGATTTTATAGTCAGGCGCTATGAATGCGCACTGACTTTGGCACGGGTGTCACCAAGAAAGGTAATCTAAGACGCCACACGACTCAACATCACCAAACGTGAGTTGGTCATAGCGTACACCATAGTACCAAGAACTCTAACAGCCGATACCGCATTTTGTTTCTGCCATATGTTAATGCACATTTTGATATTCCATGGGGGTTCCCCAAATGTAGCCGGTCAGCTCAAGTTAATTTGGTGAGCTAGTTCAAGAAGTTGTCCATGAACCTTCAAGTTACTTATGCTTGCAGGTCCCCGCTTGTGGGAAGCACTGTAGGTCTAGGTTCAGAGGTGGGACGCAAGCGCCAACGCGATAGCAAAGCTTCCAGCTCCTCCTCCCCATACCAAGTATTGGCTACATGATAGTTCTAACATGTTCGCTGCGCCACCCAACCTTGCCTTACGGGGTGATGCCGCATGCACAGCCTCAGAAAACTGAATTTACCGGACTGCTCGGATGCAATCCCGCGGTCACCTGACCATTGGCTCATCAATTAGTCGCAGGTCAAACAGGAACAGAGCCGTCCTGTGGACCATGCCAGCGACCACGGCTGTTAAGCACGCCCAGGCCTCTGGAATGAAGCATCATCAGCGCAACGTATCGCATGGCAAGCTGAATCGATCAGCGAGTGCAATCAGATTCCAGGGGGGGCAACTGCCGGGTGTTCATAGCAATTTCGCCGTAACGGCTCTCAGAGCTAAGGAAGATCTTGTAAAGCGCTCAGAATCCTCAAATACAATAAAGTCAGACCATACAGTGGGCCATAAGGCTGCTGGATTCCATGTTTGTGGCGGTCGCGGCTTATCTCCAAGTTGTCGCTGATTTCGATTGCTATGTGACTCATTTAGGGACGTGGACATCTGGCTCCCCGCAAGACGAGCCATAAGTTAGATAGCTCAAGGAAAGCGAAGTTTCTCATGGCTGCTGAGCGGGATGCTAGCCCAGGAGATGATGAAGAAGATGATGATGATGATGATCAGTGGGTTTCCAGTGGCGTTGTCACTCCAGATGACAGGGAGCCTGACAAAACTGCCGCCGCCTCTGAGCTCCCCTTCGCTCACCCCTCTACTCCCAAGGCAACAATGCCGCAGGCTCTTCCTCCAAGCCCCCACCCTGTCCCTGCTTCTACTTCCGTGCCTACGGGATTCCCAGATGAATTAAATCGGAAGTTAGTGTCAAATGGGCATAAAACAGCCCCGTCGTCTCGAGCCCCCTCCATTAGGGGTCGATCCTCTCTGATGCGTCCATTGTCGACCGTTTCTGTTCATGATACCCGTCCGAGCCTCATTCGGACATCATCGTTCACCCCTACAGCTCCCCCGCTCACTACTACGTCCATTGCATCCGCACAGATTACGCCTACCAACCCTCAGTCAGATGATTCTATTTCCCTATCCCATTATACTCCTATTCATACCTCCCCTCCTGGATCCCCTTCCTCGTCACGAACTAGGCAGCAAGGCTCGAGATCTTCCTTCTTTCGACGTTCATCTACGTCTTCCTCCCTGCGCTCTTCTTTGACTCTTCCCTCTTTCGCTATACGTGACCGTAAACCTTCCGTTCTCTCAAACGCATCCACTACCGTTCAAAGTGCTAAGCAGCTCCCCCATGCCTCGGCGGCTTTCAACTCTTTATCAGCGATACCTAGAGGGCGCTCGGCTCCCCCACCCCTCGTGTCACATTTCCCTCCCATTCCGGTTCGCACACCCGCAGAAGAGGCATTCGGACTCTTTCCGCCACCATATCTTGCTGCGCACATGGCTGTGAGAGCGCATGAAAGCCCGCTGCAGGATTCGTTTGCGCGGGTTGTAAGTTTTCGAGTTAAGGGCCATCCTATGGCGATCAGTGGGAATTGATATAGATGCGTCAACGATAGACAATGAACCTTGTTTTTGAGCCTCGGTCTGGAATTTTTCATAGCTCCTTGTGTTTCATCAATGGACTCCTCATCGGCGTGTATATATGATCCCAGTCGCATAGAATTTCCTTTTCTTCCATTCTCCCCTGGCCCGATTTCTTCGCTGTGCTATTTTTACCTATTTCGCGTGTTTTGTGTGTTGCGGGACTCAGTGGGCCATGCTTGTGTTCATGTACAACTATTTCCCAGTACGGCTGTTTATTATCCACTGAAAGTAAGAGTAGTGATTATGCGCACGCCATGGGAACATTTTGAAGTCGTGCACAATTGTGCGTCGTGTTCGGGGCTCGATCTCTTCAGGTAAGCCAGCGTTCATTTCGCAGTCCTAGATATTGTTAGAGACATTTGGTAGTACCTTTGTTCTCCGGGCCGGGGTTGACGTTCGGGAGTGAATCACCCAAGTCAATGCCCTTGCTGGGAAAAATCTCTCAGGTGAGAAACAAGACATAATTAATCGGTATTCAAGCCACTAGAGTCGTGCGGACAGGTTGCCACGTTTTCAATATCCACAGCCCGATAAGATACCAATGAGAATACAAATGGGATTGACCAATTGTTGCACGTCCCGTTAAGTTGTTACATTTGCGAACGTGCGTCTACCTGACATAGCAAACCCCTAACTATAACCTAAAAATCTGAAGTATCGTGCCAAAACATTCTAGACCCAACAGACGAATCGCAAAAAAATCGCACCACTAACGCACGAGTTCTGCAGGGTCGACTCTTCTCCGTCGTATTTCCGCCTTCATCCGATCTGAATCTCGTAAAGAGCCAGCACTTTGTCTTCTTTTCGAGGGATCTCGTCTTGGGGATGAAAGTTCGGTAAGGACCCGTGGAGAGGTCAGGGAATGGCGGGGTGTTACTCTCGGTGCTGCGAAGGGATGTGCGATCGTTCCTGGACCTAATCTTGATCGGTCAATGATCACGATAGGATCAGGAGTCAAAACATCGGTTTCCATCTCTCGAGAGGGAGTAACCAGTCGGGCGGTAGTGGCCTCGACGTCACGTTGTGATTGCGACCGCGTGTCAGCCTGGACTGAGCCGCGACGCGGGGGTGAATGCGTGCGATGAGGGGTTTTGGATGCGGGGGTCCCTGCTACATTCTTCCCCGACTCACGATGGGGGACTTCCGGCTCTTCCGATGAACGAGGAGAAGACTTTGAAGACCGAGACGAGCCGTTGGATAGGGAGCCACTAGAACGAGATTGAACGCCAACGGTCACACGCGGGGGATCTACGACCTGAAAGAGGCCTTTAGAGTGCGAACGTGCTAGGCTGATATAATAGTCATGAAGTAGGTCCCTTGTGCTCTGTAAAGGAGAGATAAGCAACGTGCGTTTCGGTGTACAGAATTACGTACAGTTAGACGCCAATCCAGTGCAGTGAGCAACTCGCGCTCAAGAATGTTGAGCTCGGCGACTTTGATCCCACCGATCTTGGCATAATGGGAATTTGTGCAAAAAGCGTCGCAAAGGGCTTTTGTGGAAACGGTAATAGAAGCGATGAGAAAACGATGGACGGTGAGAGAGGAAACGGTGAATCGTGGATTCCGAGCACACATCTGATCAATATAGTGCAGGGTAATGAGGAGACAGGAGCGCTGGGGGGCAGGAAGGTCACAATGAGTCCCAAGACGCAATTCGAGGCTACCAACCTCAAGATGGGTATACTTGACGATACGACGAAGGTAATCAAGAACAGTGATGCCGGGAGGTGCTCGGGAGTGAAATCGAGTGAGGGCATCACTTCGTATCGACTATCAGTCCAAGCAAAGGATGTCATGAATACAAAGTCAGCTCACGGAATAAGTGGTATCTTGTCATTATGAGTGAGCAGACGCTCAAGCATGTCGGCTTCGGATATTGGCATCAGGACCTGCACGACGTAGTCATGAGATAAGGGCATACTCACAAATCATGAGAACAAGGTGGTCAATTTCGCAATCCTCAAAGTCGTAGGGCACCATTATGACGCTGGGGGATGAGGATGCCATCCATGCTAGGCCAATAAGTAGGCTGCAGAAATGCCTCTACTTAAGAGGACTCTTTGCCAGCGAGAGCAGGAACTAATTGAAAGACTGAAACTGCCTCTACCTATAGGAAAGTTGATGGGGATGCAATTAAAAGGGTGAAGGGATCGCAGCGTCGAATGCAACGAGTAACGTCACGTGTTTTTGTTTGTCATTGACCTGACGGTTGCATCTGATTCAAGACTTTGTCTGGAAAATCGATGTACATAGGTTCTCCCCGCCATCTCACGTCCCGAGGATGGCCAACATGCCATATAGTCAGCTGCATCAAAATTATGTGGGGCTCATCCGTCATCCTGGTCTGTGCGAACAAAGACCGAAACGACTCAGGTAACTGTTCGCCCATCCAACTGCGAAAATGACCACGAGTGGCAGGTTTTGGATAGAACCCTCGGGCACGATCGAGCGCTCATCCATGGCCACAAGTTAAAGCGGAAGACACGGTGCTCCCCGTAGCCGGATCAGCGCTCTATTGCGGGGAGAACTTACGTGGAAGCTGGCAAGATCGTTATTTGGAATAGGATGTCATTTTCCAGCGGCCCTGTTAGTTCAAGCGAGCAAGATTTGGGGTTGCGAGCTGGATTATGCCCCCTTCGAGCCCTTGCCTGAGATTTGGAAGCGCTGCCCAACATTCAACTACGTCTGATCCCCATCTTGCGACGCACGTTCAACTGAGGTAATTCCCAAACTGAGAAAATGAACATTGCCTCTTTGGCACTGCCGACGGCATGATGAATTCATTCACCTCCATCTGTTCGCCATTCTCGCCAACGCCAGAACTTTATCGACCGACCTTTGTACACCAGATACCAGTTCGGATATATTGCGGCGGCGGACCCATGGTATTGCTACGATATAACACTCCTGCACTTTCACTGGTGAGGACACTAGCACCGTTGACCAGACTTCGGCCGCCAAGAATCTCGGCACAATAAGTGCTTGATCCTCACAGAAAGGGTGAAAGGATCCGAGCCAGATCCGTGTGACAAGGGATCACCTGTAGGCTGTATTGCTTCACTCACCCGAATACATCACCCAGACACACTCATCATGTATGGATGCTCCCTCATCTTGCATTTGAGTCGGGTCCTAAATCAATGGCTTTATTCGTGAGGCTCCCGCTGAAAGAGCACGGCAGGCGGGTAGTTGGGTCGCGTGTCGAAAACTTTTTTTTGAGCTCGGTGATATCTGAGCCAGGGGAAACGTTGCAGCAGCTCGTGGGCCGTGGAATAGACGTCGCCATGACACCCCAACACAGTTTGTTACCGAAGCGTTCGCAGACAAGTCAGATATAAGGAGCCAGTGTGCGATGCAGGATCGCACAAGGGTTTCAGATTGAACCGCGGGGATTACCACGAACCATTGTATTCGGGTAAAAATCACGCAAATAGATATGGTTTAGTTGTTAGGGCCTGAACACGTACGGAATTCGTCCGAAGAAATCGAACCAGGGTATGCAGCAGCAATAAAACCTGGAACGGCATGACTGTATCCTTGGGTAAAAAGAACAGTGAGAGCGTTCAGTCCTGCTGCGCACAAGTCTAATTTAATCTCGTACCTCCATTAAATAACAAGAATTTGCATTTCCCCGCGGTGGAGTCCTAGGACGTAGGGCCCCTTCCCACAAACCTCCAGGTATACACTACCCAGCGAAAGCCACGGGGTTCTACCAAAAAAAAAAAAACAAACAAGAATTTTGAGTGTGTACACGTGACCAATACGCCGGCCAATTGCGAGAAACTGTACATTGACCCACACCTTCACCACTAGATATCTAGTCATGGCCCCAAAGGTGCGTCGGGACCATTTTATGCCGAAAGCAACATACTAAAATAAATGTTCTTTCGTGTAGTTTGTTAGTTATTATTCCCGACGAGCGTCTGAAAGGAAATCATTGCTGACGACGGAATGGAATTATAGGATCCTAACGAGATCAAGATCATTTACCTTCGTGCAACAGGTGGTGAAGTAGGTGCCTCATCAGCACTCGCCCCTAAGATTGGTCCTCTTGGTCTGGTCAGTTGATTACCCCACCTTTGTGTGGAGGTTGAATTATTGACCGGTGGAATGCAGTCACCCAAAAAAGTCGGTGAAGACATTGCGAAAGCAACCACTGCATGGAAGGGACTTCGTGTTACTGTCCAATTGACCATTCAAAATCGCCAAGCTCAAATTGCTGTTGTCCCCTCCGCGTCCTCTCTTATCATCCGTGCATTGAAGGGTTCGTCCACCGTTTATAGTCCGTCGAATTCCCCCTGATTTCCTTCCCCACAATTCCCTCTAGAACCTCCTCGTGACCGGAAAAAGGAGAAGAACATTAAACACAATGGCAACATTCCATTCGACGAAATCGTGGAAATCGCGCGTATTCTAAAGCCGAAATCATTGGCAAAGGAATTGTCTGGCTGTGTTAAGGAGATTTTGGGGACGTGCCAGAGTATTGGGTGCACCGTTAATGGCCAGCATCCTCATGCTATCACAGAGCAAATTAACGCCGGGGAGATTGACGTGCCGGATGAGTAGAAAACTTGATACCATCCAGCTTGCATCCTACCCATTACCTATTCGACGCACCTCTTACATCTCCGCATCGTCTCACACACCTTGTATTTCTTCGGTCGCGATATGTGGTTGATACTCTAGCTTATGCAACTGCTACCCCCTCTTCATGATCCAAACTGCTCTGGATGTTACTTTGTGCATCCCTTCGTAATACCGGTCTTCCAGTGACGGATTCACAAGCACACCTGACTACTGTCTAACTGCTTTCTTATGAATTTCTGTTAGCCGATCGCTCCTGAGCCTGTTCGACTCGAAGTTCGACATTGAAGTATACAGATGAACCATGAACTATCCAATGTAGTTCGGAAATGTAAAGTTGGAGTAGACATTCGAGAAATCTTCTACGTCGATGGTACCCACCGTTGTACGAACCGGATCAACGTTATCACCGGTCTCTCGTGGCGACGCAAAATAAGTAATGCAACGAAAGTCGCAGCACCAAGAATCCTCGGAGGGCACCTCTGCAAAGCAAGAGCTCCGAGATCCATCAACCATCGTGCAAACTATGCAACGGATTATAAGCTTCGGCCCCCGCAAACGTGTAAATGAGGACAACGCACAATGGAAGGTCTGGCTTCTGGCTCTTCAGCAACAGACTCATGAGTGTCCTCACGTAGGCCGATTGCTGTC